TTTTAGGACATAGTCTTGCATTTCAGGCATTTCTGGGACTTTTTGGATTTTTTCACAATGGTAAGGCATATTTGTACACACTGTTTGTCCTTGCAATGATTTTTATTTTGTCCCAGAATGAATATTAATGAATATGAGGAAAGTTGGCACAAGTCATGCAGTACAGGGACATGCACATGCACACACACGAACACACACACATACACAAAGACAGACCCGGTGGTCTCCTAGACCCGACGGACCGCACAAGGGCTATTAGATTCTGTGCCTAATATAAAGCACTCCATCTCTTTCTGATCGCTTCTACTTCAACAGCTATCTACTACACTTATTTATTCTTTGTTGGTTCAACTTTACCATTCATTATGAACTTAACTTGGCTAAGTTTTATAAAAAAACAGAACATTTATGATAAATATACATCAATTCAATGATTCTGAATTTAACAAATTGAATGACCACAAAAAAACCCCCAAACCTGCTCCTGACTGGACTGTGAGGACAGAGTGGGAGACAACACTAGTGCAATATTATATTTATTTCTTACAGTGAATTTTGGTTGCCATACAAGAAATCTGGAGAATTATGGGGGCAGGGGAAAAAAAAGAGTGAAATTACAGGAATAAAAATTCTCCCTTTTTTAAATTTAATTTTAATTAGTTGACTCTATGATGATTTATTAGCACAAAATTACAGCAACATTAAAACATGAACACAAGTCTTTGCACAAATTACATCTTCTATGAAGACTTAATCAAAGAATAAAATCTATTAGTGGAAAAAAAATAATATTAACTTTTGATTATTTAATTCATTAAGAAAGAAAGTAAAATAAATAAATAAATAATAAATCAACAGTCACCCAAATGTTGGACGATGCTAAAGGGGTGATCAGTGTTTTTTGTGTATTTTTCTTTAAAGGTGGGGTAGGCGAGTGTGAGTGGGTGGAGGTGGAGGTGGGTCAGTGAGCCATGCCCGTCCTGAACATGGTCTGGAGCAGCGCCAACACTGTGGTGATGCTTAATAACGATTCCTACGTCTACTCAGCTCTAAAGCTTCACAAAGAAAATAACCAGCACCCTGTTAATCTGCGTCGACAAATCTGAGGCGGCCGGCTGATTCTGATCAGTGGATTTATGTATGTGTACATACATACATACATATAATATATATATATACTCACGTAAAGGTTTTCAATTACGTTCCTACCAAAAATGGCCTGCAGATATACATCTTGTAATTGTACATTTTTTTTAGTCTTTCTAAAAACACACAAGATTCAGAGATTTCAGTGGATGAGAGGATTCTACTCAGGTGAAGGGACTTCAAAAAATGTGTTTTTTTTAAATATTAAATGTTGTTGCCGAAATATTAAAAACCTGCAGCTGCAGAGACCAGACCTACAGAGCCCCTGACATGACGTTAGAGTGAATTCTGGCCAAGAAATTATGATGAGAAACTTTTGTAACTAATACTTAGTTGTGGAGTAAAAAAAAAAAAAACTAAAACAATACATGCTCACAAAAAGTTTCTAACCCAAAACAATGCACACAATTTTGATTGGTGGCTTCAAAGTCAATTCAGTTGTACACTATAATTGTGCTCGTATATAAAACTGATGTGATGCTAAAGTTAGCCAAAAATATTTAATATCTTCAATTTATTCTATTGTTTTATTCTGATAGTTTGAAACCAAATTATGGTGACAGAAATGGTTGGTGAGAAAAAAAGTTTGTTACAAACAAAACAAGGGAATGACATCTCCATAAAATAATAATTAAATAACTACATAATGATTTTTAAAAAAAATGGTAATATAAAGATTTAAATTATGGCCATAAAGAATATTTCAGATGTAAAAGGAGAGGCAGGAATGACATTCAAAAATAATACTAATTTGAGTTAATACTTCAACCTAAAAATGCAACAGGTGATAAATAAAAAATGGATGGTAGTGTGTACTACATATGAAAAAAAACAAACGAAAAAAACCCATTTGCGATAAATACCTAACAAGAGCCATGGAATAAATATCATGTTTGTAAAATAAAATCCCCATAATGGGTAAAATGTTAAGAGAAAATACAGATTTTTTTTTTACCACAGTAATATAATTTACTAATTTAAGGTGAAGGAATTAACGTTCATACAGATTTTCATATTTATATCCAAGATTCAGGTGTACTGTAACATTCCTAAAGAGTACTTTTAGAAGTACTCAATCATTGTCACAGAAAAAAAGTTTGAAAACTTTGGAAAAGGTTTGCAAGCCACAGTGACGGTGGCTGCAGAAATTAAGCAGAAAATATTAATATTTACAACAACAACAACCAAAATATCATGGTTAAAAAAAACTGTAAAACAGACAATTCTCCAAATAATGTGTGGCAATGAAAAAATTATGCAAAATTAAATTATTAACTTAAAAAAAAATTATAAAACAAAATTAAATCCTGGCCCAGAATAAAAAATTTTAGCTTAAAAAAAAAAAAAAAACTCCACAAACATTTGTATTTTCTATAATACTTTTCTGATCTAATATTTAGATTAATATTTTATTTCTCGTTCTTTGTATTTCACACACCTTATGTCCGGGGCTCTGGTTGTTTCTACTTCATTTAAACACTGACATGTGACTGCATCATGGTAAGTAACTGTAAATAAGAGAAGAAAAAAATAAAAACCCAACCAAGTCAGAATAAATATTGCTTCTTACATAACCCACACCTCTACTAGTAATAACATTTTAAAATCTTTAGAATATTTCTGTTTTTTTTTTTTGGCAATCCACGGTGTCGACGTTGAACAACTTTTTGTTCGGATAACTTCTATAAAATTTCACAGAACTCTATACAAATCTTTAAAAATACTGTGCTTTTCCAGACACCCCTCTCTGACACAACACTTTTTTTTTTGTATTTTGAAAATAAACAGCAGCGATTTCCCGGGCCCGCCTCCGTCGTACACCCTCATGTTCACAGAACACAGATCTCGTGTTTGTCTCCTCTCAAAGCTGCACCTGTGTGAAGCAGCGGAGGGTCATGTGACACCTGGTTACCGTTAAGGGTTTGAACACAATGACAGGCGAGGTGGAATGAGTTGTGCTCTGACAGAAGCAGAAGCATGTGCAGGCGCTGGAGGGAGAAGCAGTGAGCGGTTTAAGGCCTCGTCTGCAGGACGACGCGGGGCAGATCAGATCAGACCAGAGCTTTGGTCACTCAACATCAACCCTGGCAGCTTTTATAAACCATCTTTCCATAGACTCTTTTTTCTAAACCATTGAATAGAGCTCTATATATAATTTCATATATATATATATAGATTTATATAATGAGATAGATATTTTTTTCCCCTCATTTAAACACTCTTATATACACATTTCAGCACCTACTATACTTTGACTTCTTACCCGCCTTTCATCGTCACCAACAAAAACAAACCCACAGACATTTTCCTGCCTGACTAGATGCAGATTTAGTTTTGTGGGTTTTTTTTCGATGTGGCGTTACATGCATTTTCAAAAGGTTATGGAGGAGAGTACAGACAGTACCTAGAAGGGAATAAGAAGTGCTGATGCCTCTTTAAACTGTCAACTTTTAGCAGTAAATTCAACTTTTTAAACAGATTTTTATATTATATTATATATATATATTTATATTTTATAAATGCTTTCTCAGTAAGGTCCCCCTGTCTGTGTCTCTTTAAAGG